CATATATTAATTAATACTAGAATCGGTCGATTAATACGCTTGTTATTAACTCGGTCCTTTCACGGTAGTAAACTTGGGTTGTTAATGCATGCGTCTCATGGTTAATAAGCCAAGGGGAATTAATTATATTGATTAAACCAATAAACCGCTTGTGTTGAGGTTATCAATCTTAATCGTTTTCATCTTGATTTTATTGCTACTATCGAGTAAATATATGGCGCGTGTTCTATATTAACTCGGTAGTAAGTTTTATTAATGAACGCGTCTCGTTATTAATAACTACCCTCGATGAATTGGATATACTCCTCGATTGAGTATTCGAGAGGAAGATAGTTAAAGATATAACCGGGATCGACGAACATTTCATTAAGTGGATAAAAGCAAAGCCAAGTCCTCTTCTCATTAATTAAACCACATAACTCGTTCATCTTCGTGTTTAAATATAATTTAAACTTCATCAACCAAATATAAACCCCCCCTTTTTGTTACTCATTTATTCTTGTAAGAAGAAAAGTATTCCTTTCCCTGTGGACACGAACCTTACTTCACTATACTACGTATTAGTGTTGTATTGATTATTATTTTGAGTGCACCTCACGACAAGTGCACGTCAAATTTGGCGCCGTTGCCGGGGAAAGGCAATCATTTTTCTTTTTATTTTATTTCAAGAAAAATCAAAAAAAAAAATTAACCGAAAATATAAAGGGTTCTTATTTTTCTATTTCTGAGTTTTGTGAAGTATATGGTCCGATATCGTTCTATAAACGAAATCACTTATCAAGCAAACCCCGAAATAGAACAAGCCTTCGAGAGGTTGAGAAATTTAATTCCGCACATACCCTCAGAGGAAACCTCAAACGCTAGCTCCAGTTCTAGCGAATCTGAAGAGCCAATCACTATGGCTCAAGAAACAAGAACCTTGAGGGAGCTCACAGCTCCGAACTTGAATCAACAACCGTTATGTATTACCTTCCCTACACTCAACGAAGGTAATACATTTGAGCTCAAATCAGGGCTCATTCATCTTTTGCCATCCTTCCATGGCTTAAGGGGGGAAGATCCGAACAAACATCTATCGGAGTTCCATATTGTATGCACGAGCATGTGCCCCAACGGAGTCACGGAGGAGCAAATCAAGCTCAGAGCTTTTCCATTCTCCTTGAAGGATACCGCAAAGGATTGGCTTTTCTATCTTCCTTCGGGAAGTATAGACACATGGGCGGCCATGAAAAAATGCTTCTTGGAAAGGTATTATCCCGCTTCCATTTCATCATCTTTAAAGAAGCAAATCAGCAACATCGAACAAGGTGATGATGAATCACTTTACGAATATTGGGAGCGCTTCAAAAAGCTTTGTGCCAGTTGCCCATACCATGGGTACACGGAGCAAGACCTCATCCTCTACTTCTATGATGGTCTTGCGGAAAACGATAGGCGAATGGTGAATGCGGCATGCGGAGGGGGCATTGTGAACAAAACCCCTTCTCAGCAAGAAATCTCCTCTCGGAGTTGGCCGAGAACTCTAGGCATTACAACGGGAGGCTCTCAACCCGTAAAGTTGCCGCGGCGGAATCAACTTCATCTTTGGAAAGTCAAGTTGCCGGCTTGACTTCTTTGGTTAAAGATTTTCTCTTAAATCCCAGAACCCAAGAGGTCAAGGTGTGCGGCATATGTACACAACAAGGGCATCCTACCGACTCATGCCCGACTCTCCAAGAAGAGCAAGTGAACGCCTTGGGTTTCCAAGGACATCAACAAAAGAGGTACGATCCACATTCTAACACCTATAATCAAGGGTGGAGAGATCATCCCAATTTAAGATACGGGAACCCTCAACAAAATCAATCATTCCAACAATCCTTCCCAAACCATCAAGGTCAAAACTCTAGCATGTCCACGGAGGACATGATTCGAAATCTTGCTTCTAGCGTATCTACCATGCAACAAAACATGGTACAATTCCAGAATGAGACCAAATCTAGCATTTCCAATCTGGAAAATCAAGTTGGTCAAATAGCCGGAGCCGTGAGCAGGCTAGAAGCAAAAGAATCATCAAAACTCCCTTCTCAAACGGAACAAAATCCAAGACAACATGTTAATGCAATCATGTTGAGAAGCGGAAAAGAGTTAGAAGAAAAAGAAGTCCAAAGGAAGAAGGCTGAAGAGGAACTAGGTGAAGTTGGGGAGAAAGATCAACTGGGGGAGATGACCACAAAAATTTCACCATTGGCATCATACGAACCACAACCCCCATTTCCCGAAGCATTAAGGGAGACAAGGCCGCTGAAAAACGACAAAGACATGTACGAGACATTCGCCAAATGCGAGGTAAACATCCCACTACTCAACTTAATAAAAAGTGTCCCTCGATTTGCTAAATTCTTTAAAGAATTATGCACGATCAAGAGGACACACCACTCAAGAGGAAAAGAAAAACTTGAAATTAGTGAACATGTCTCGGCAGTTTTCCAAAAGAAACTTCCACAGAAATGCACTGACCCAGGCATGTTCACTATACCATGCAAGATAGGAGACACTATTTCTTCTAAGGCCATGTTGGACCTAGGGGCATCAATTAATGTGATCCCCTATACTCTTTACAATTCTCTGGAACTTGGACCCTTAAAAGAAACCGGTGTCATAATCCAACTAGCTGATAGGTCAAGTGTTTCTCCAAAAGGGCTAGTGGAAGACGTACTTGTGTCGGTAGGTGATCTAGTTTTCCCTGCAGATTTCTACGTACTTGAAATGGAGAGTGATAAACATGAAGTCCCTATTTTATTGGGGAGACCATTTTTAAAAACCGCTAACTCAAAAATTGATGTTTCTAGCGGATTTTTAACTATGGAATTTGATGGAAAGAAAATAGAATATAACATTTATAATTCTATTAAACATCACTCCCCATTTGAAGAAAAAATTGAATCAATCTTTGATGTTGGGGAAACACTAAATCAACCACCGTTCATCGAACCTCTCGAAAACAAGTTGAAACCACCTGAACTTGAGGTGGTAACAAATATAAAAAACCGGTCTTGCTGGAAAAGGGCCAAAGATAAAATTGAGACATGGCCAAACAGAGCCTTGAATTTAGAGAAAAGGGATGTTCATGATCCCACATAAAAAGCTGAAAAATAAAATAAAAAATAACGTCGTGCCGCGACGTTAACTAAGGCGCTTCTTGGGAGGCAACCCAAGCCAAGGTACGCACTTTTCAATTTTTTGTTTTCGAATGTCAACTTTTGGGAGAATGGGAGGAAGTTCTCAAAAAGAAAATAAGGGAAAAATAACATTTTCAAGGCCTGGGGAAACCCCCGATCGGTCATCATCAGTTACCCGGTTGGATCCATGCCGAAAAGAGGATTAAAATGGACCAAACAAAATTCCAGGCTAATATACCCGATCGAGTAACATTCATACGCGGTCGGGTATAGAGTAAAAAAAAAAGAAAGACGGGGGATCGAGTACCCCACACTCGATCGGCCAAAAGGAAAAAATGCACGAATACCCGATCGAGTATACCTCATACTCGATCGGGTAATCGACCCCTGGAACCAATTTTAAAAATCCGCCAAATACCCGATCGAGTAAATTAATATACTCGATCGAGTATATTTCAAGAAAAACCTACGGCGGCCAAAATTCGATCGAGTATACCCCATACTCGACCGAATACACAAACCTGGAACCAATTTTTTTTTTAAAAAAAGGGGTATACCCGATCGAGTATATTAATATACTCGATCGAGTATATTTCAAGAAAATCCTACGGCGGACAAAACTCGATCGAGTACGGGGTATACTCGATCGAGCCCGATCCCGAAACAAGAACAAACCGAGGTATACCCGATCGAGTAATCGGGGTACCCGATCGGGTATACGAGTTTTAAGTCCGAATTAGAAGCCAAAATCAACCATTCTTCTTCCCCAAATCCCAAAAGCTCGAACCATTCTCCCAAAAACCTCCATTTTTACACCTTCAAGCTTCGATTACTCTCTCATATCTCAACCAAATCCACCCAAACCACCACCAAAACAATCCCTACACCCTCCTCTCCAACCTCATACCAATTAATCCCTCTCCCTCTCTCCATTTCCAAAAATCCGAAAACCTACCCCCAAAACCCCAAACCCGAACTCAACTTCCCTATTTGCTCAAAAATGGCACCAAAAAGGAACCAACCGGAGGGCTCTAACTCAAGGGGACCTATTCGAGGCTACGAGGATGTTCAATTTGGCCCGGGGGATCATCGGAAGCGATTTGTGACCGCTCTCAAAAGGCAAGTTATCCCATCTCGGTTCTTATGCCATGACGCTCTTACTTCTCTTGGCTTGTTAGATGGTATGAGAGAGCTATTTGATGAATTGCATATGGGCTTGATTTTTAACTTGCAATATAATTGTAATGAAAGAATCATCTATGAATTTTTGAGCTCGGCCAAATTTGCATTGGATGAAAATCATTTTTATGATGACACAATCACGTTTCGGTTGATGAACACCGAATACACTATAACGAGACGTGATTTTTCCGAACACTTTGGGCTCCGATTCCCACATGAAAGGGAGATTCCGGACAACACCATGGATGCTTATAATCTTTGGGGTAAAATGACCGGAGAACGGAATTTTAGCACGTCTCAACTATACATTAGTCACGTGCAACATCCCCTTCTCCGGATTTTCCTCAAATTTTTGTGCAACTCTTTGCTCGGCCGCCCCAACAACCATCACACTCGGATAGGGGATGTAGCCATTCTCACTCTTGCTCTTTTCCGCAATCCCGTTGAGTTCAACATTTGCAACTTGATTTGGGATCATCTACAGAAGGCTATCACCAAAGGGGGAAACATTGTTGTAGGGGGTGTTATCATGCATTTGGCTTCCAAGTTTGGCTATGTGGATAATGCCACAATCTCTAGAGATTCATTGATGCATCTTGGATGGTTGTCCAATGCACAATTGATCTCTTTGGGTAACAAAGACCACAACGGAAACCAAAAATATAGATGGCATATGAAGTACCCCGAACCGGTCAAATACTTCCCCCTCCCTTGCGATGAGTTACCTAGACTTAGGTATAAGATGGAGCCCGCCCACATCCCACATTACCTCCTCCCCAACAACATTCCACCCCATCTCCAAGCCCAAGCCGACCAAGCCGACCAAGCCGAACAACCCAATCCCCAACCGGAGCAACCCGAGCATCAAGAGGGACACGACTATTTCCAACATGACATCCCCGACCCTCCCCAAAATCCGCCACCACAAGACTTTTTCCAACAACTCTTGGAGGGTCAACAATCCCTCCTAGCCGGGTTCCAAACAATGTGCCTTGATTACACCAAAATGGGAGAGCAATTCACCCAACTTCAAGGAGAAATAGGCCATTACCGGAACGAGCAACAAGCAAGAGAACGGCAATTTGATGCTTACCGGGAGGAGCAACGGTTGGCTTTTCAAAGGATGGAAGAACAAAGGGCGGCCGACATGAAAAGGTATGAAGAAGACTACCGGAGGATGTATGGACCGACATATTCGTACATGTCCCAACTTGGTGGGTTTGCCTCCATGGCCTCACCTCCACCGGCACCTTCTTGGTACAACCCCTCCGATTGGGGTAATTTTGGCGGCTCGAGTTCCGGCGGTGGTGGCTATGATGGCGGGGATACTACCATGGGCGAGGGGGGCGGTGATGACATGCACGGGAGCGGCTTTGGAGGAAGCTATTACGGAGGAGAAGGCGGGCACTAGGGATAGTGCCATGTTTCAAGTGTGGGGGAGGAAGATTTATCTTGTGGTATGTACACTCCTTTATTTCTACCTTGTACTAAGCATTATTTTCTTGTATTAGTTTTACACAAAAAAAAAAGTATAATAAAAGAAATGAAATGCTAGTTAGGTTGAAAACCCAAAAGGGCAATCTAAGCAACAAGGGCTTACAAAAAAAAAATGAGTGAGTGGAAAGAGAAGGAAAAGAAAAGAAATGCTAGGATGAAAACCTGAAAAGGCTCCTAGGAAAAATGAGAGATAAGAGAGAAATTTGTGTTTTGCAGGACATCATCTCTAAGAGAAGAGGAAGAGAAGAGGAAGAGAAGAGGAAGAGAAGAGGAAGAGAAGAGAAAGAGAAGAGAAGAGGAAAGAAGAAGAAATAAAGGGCATAGAGGACTAACAAACCCAAGAGAAATGTTGTTCTAGCTATGAACTAATTTACAACCTTGGTGGTCTTATGCTCTTTCTTACTATTCTTGAAACTTATGATCTTTGATTGAACATTGTGTAAACATTTGGTTTTACTCGAGGTCGAGTAAAGAAACTAAGTGTGGGGGAGTTGACATTCATGTTATTTCCATGTTTATGTTTGTGCTTTTGATTAGTTTTTAGTGATTATTACTCTAGAAATTACACACTTTTGGTGTAATAGTTTAGTTTGTAAAATGTTTGTAAATTGTTTAGATTAGATTTGTTCTGAGCTCAAACAGGTCCAAGACCACTCTAGGGACCATTGGTGAACATCACAAGTGGAAGGAAGGTGCAAAAATTCCAAAACAAAATGAAGATCCTGATTTTTGGTATTGTACCCGGTCGAGTATGCCCTATACTCGATCAGGTAAGTTGCTGAAAAGGCAAATCGGATAAATCCGGGAACAAGGCAACATGCAGGAAGATTTTTTAACTCGATCGCGTATCCATACCCGATCGGGTAGCCGACATACCCGATCGGGTATGACCCCAGATTTTCAGTTTCGAGGAAACTAACCCTTACCCGATCGGTTGAGCTAAAAACTCGATCGGGTACACAACCCTGCAGGCCTAAAAAGCCTATAAATACACCCCATTTCCTCCACAAGAAAGGCACCAATTCACATATACTTCTTAGCTCAGTTTAGACAAGTTCTTTCTTTATATTTTTCATCATGTTTAGTCTCCAAATGAGGAGCTAAACTCTTCCATCTTGGTTTTGCTACTTTGAAGCTTAATGAATTGTAAGTTGTGAGTTATTTTCTTTAATCTTCTTCCTTGAATATTAATTAATTCCTATTCCGATTACATATTAATATTTTGAGCAATACTTAAAGGATCAACTAGTTTTGTTTCATATATTAATTAATACTAGAATCGGTCGATTAATACGCTTGTTATTAACTCGGTCCTTTCACGGTAGTAAACTTGGGTTGTTAATGCATGCGTCTCATGGTTAATAAGCCAAGGGGAATTAATTATATTGATTAAACCAATAAACCGCTTGTGTTGAGGTTATCAATCTTAATCGTTTTCATCTTGATTTTATTGCTACTATCGAGTAAATATACGGCGCGTGTTCTATATTAACTCGGTAGTAAGTTTTATTAATGAACGCGTCTCGTTATTAATAACTACCCTCGATGAATTGGATATACTCCTCGATTGAGTATTCGAGAGGAAGATAGTTAAAGATATAACCGGGATCGACAAACATTTCATTAAGTGGATAAAAGCAAAGCCAAGTCCTCTTCTCATTAATTAAACCACATAACTCGTTCATCTTCGTGTTTAAATATAATTTAAAGTTCATCAACCAAATATAAACCCCCCGTTTTGTTACTCATTTATTCTTGTAAGAAGAAAAGTATTCCTTTCCCTGTGGACACGAACCTTACTTCACTATACTACGTATTAGTGTTGTATTGATTATTATTTTGAGTGCACCTCACGACAAGTGCACGTCACGTAGCAGCCGCATCTTGTTGCTCTCAATCATTGTGGATCATGCAACAAGTAAGCGAGTACGGGGTTGATTTAAAGTGCATGCCCATCCTATGCGATAATACAAGTGCAATTAACATATCAAAAGATCCGGTCATGCATTCTCGGACAAAACGTATTCACATACGACATCACTTTTTGAGAGATTGCGTGAAAAGGGGGATAATCAGGCTAGAATATTGCAGCACCGAGAAACAAATAGCTGATATCTTTACCCAGCCTCTGGGAAGAGAAAGGTTTGAACTAATTAGACTGGAACTCGGTCTAATTATTTCCTAAATTATTTGTTATATGTCTTATTTCCTAAATTGTATAATATGCACTTAATTATGGAAACCACTAGTACTAATCTCTTTTACTAGTCGCGAAGAAAGCATGAAGGACCTTCCAGCCTCATCTAGGGGGGGGGGGGGGGTAGATATTTTGGTTTGGACATTTTTTTTATTCCTTTTGTTGGATGACAAAAGGGGGGAAAATCGGGTGCCTCTTTATTTGGTTGCTACTAATCTGCAGGGACACCTTTATTATGTCACCTAATGTTTGTCATCTACAAAAAGGGGGAATTTGTTGAGTATGTGGTTTTGTTGATGACTAACCATGCAGGTGGAAAGGCGGATAGAACCGCTCACAGTTCCTTAAGGAACAAAGGACAGAACTATCATCTGGTCCAAATGGACATTATTATTGTGCAGTTGACTAACCATGCATGTGGAACTAATACTGAATCATTTCTAGTTCCGTGATACAGTTTGAATTAATATTGATTAACCTACTTGATTTTCAATTAATGTACTTTCCTTATATAAGTGCTTATACTTTGTCAAGAATATTACTTTAAGCAAAAATACCCTTTTTGCATGACCAAATAATATATATATATATATATATATGAGGACTTTTCATGTCCAGCCGGCCTGACGGGAACCGCCGTCCGGCCGAGGGCATTTCGGGCACTTCCCGATTGAATTTTTTGATGAAATTTTTTGAGCATGTTCTTCATGAAGTCTAGTTTATCCATACCAAATTTCAGCTCAAAATTCGATCGGGAAGGCATTCAAATAATTTCTTGAAGTTAACTGGGCAGTTCATACATATAAACTGCCCAGTTAACTTCACAAAATTATTTGAATGCCTTCCCGATCGAATTTTGAGCTGAAATTTGGTATGGATAAACTAGACTTCATGAAGAACATGCTCACAAAATTTCATCAAAAAATTCCATCGGGAAGTGCCCGAAATGCCCTCGGCCGGACGGCGGTTCCCGTCAGGCCGGCTGGACAAGAAGACTACTCATATATATATATATATATATATATATATATATATATATATATAGAGTGCCGTTCTTGTCCAGCCGGCCTGACGGGATGCTCCGTCCGGCCGAGGGCATTTCGGGCACTTCCCGGTGGAATTTTTTGATGAAATTTTTTGAGCATGTTCTTCATGAAGTCTAGTTTATCCATACCAAATTTCAGCTCAAAATTCGATCGGGAAGGTCGTCAAATGATTTTTGCAAGTTAACTGGTCCGGAAAATACATATTCCAGACCAGTTAACTTGCAAAAATCATTTGACGACCTTCCCGATCGAATTTTGAGCTGAAATTTGGTATGGAGAAACTAGACTTGATGAGGAACATGCTCAAAAAATTTCATCAAAAAATTCCACCGGGAAGGTGCCCAAACGGGCTCGGCCGGACGGGGCAGCCCGTCAGGCCGGCCTGACATGAACATTCCTCTATATATATATATATATATATATATATATATATATATATATATACGTATTTTGCTTATATGAGTGCTTATTTGAGTGGTATATTACTTTATGGAAAGTAATATGAGTGCCTTTTTGCATGACTAAATGATATATATGTACTTTTCCATTGAGCTACTTATTTTTTTCCATGCTTGATTAGACTCCACTCATTAATATAGTTTAATGATTTATGGAAAGTATTCTTGGTATCTTTATATTGATGGAACGTAACATTTGAATTTGCTAAGAAAGGGGTTGTCTTGCTTGGAATATTTTTTTTTCCAAATGGAAATCTTTATTAATAAAAGAACATCCTAAAAAGTACAAAAGAAAAACAGAAGGAAAAAAGCGAGAGCAAATAAAAAACAAGCTAAATATAAATACCCAACCCAAAGTATAATAAAAAACCCCTCCCAAACTAAACTTTAACCCTCAGACAAATCTTCATAGTTCCGCTCAAGTTTGAGATCTAATTCTCATAAGATGTGATCGTTGATTCCTCTTTTTGTACATTCTTTTTTGGATGTTTAAATTCTGAGTACGCAGACAATTATCTGGCGTAACCAATAGAGCTTTTTGACAAATAATCTCATTTGTATTTGAGTCCCAAAGAGGAGTATGACAGTTACAGACAGTTTTCTTTTAAAGGAATACTAATAACAGACAGTTTTCTTTTTGAAAAAGATAGTCTGATACTCCAATTTATGGTATTTACATAGGAATATAAGGACACTTTGCCCATGCTCATAGTGTATTGTTCAGTATATTTTATAATTACATAATGCCATATACCTCACCCATTAGAGTACAATATTTGCTAGTTTTACTAAAAACAATAATTAGGGCTAGTCTGAGTAACCGACCATATGAATTAAAAAGAGATCTATCTTTTCTTTTTTGCTTTTTCAACCTGGAAGTATAGTTAATACTCAATCAAAGCTACCTCTGGAATTAAAGAGTTATCTTAATTGATTCATTTACTTTTTTTTTAACAATAATTAAAGTTCCAAAATGAACACATAATACAATAAACTGTCAAAATATATATGCTTTTAGACTTTTAGTACAGATTATTAAAAGTGAACTATACTTCACCCTAAGTAACTACTAAAATATTTTATAGTTATTTCAAATTTTTAAGCAAGTGAGAACTTATGACTTGGATGCAATAAAACCATTCACATACGAGGTGTTTCACAACCACGATTTTGCAGCAGCCACTTTATAGGTTGACCAACTAATTCAAATTGACTAAACCTTTCTTCATAGTACTTTTGATATATAGGCGTGGTTTCTACAAATAAAAATGATTAAATTAGAACATGCTCCGTATAACAGTTCACATGATTATGATATGTATGATTTAAAACTAGAATACCAAAACCCTCCTATGAAGCACAAAAGAACAAAAATTGTGATTGCACTCTTAGTTATAAACCTGAATTAGGAAGCTATAAACCGAACTTATAAATTCACGGTAATTTTTTCTCTAAAAAAATTGAATATGAAACTACCCATAGGCCATAACGGAAGTGCATAAAAACCCTAATAGAAAATCAAACTATCATTGAAGCAAACATCGGGCCATCTACCAGATAGAGCATCACAGATGAAGC